TATATTACTATATTAATTTTCTGGGGGACATTCTCACCCAAGATTGAGCTGCCTTATACTTTCAATCTCTCATTGTAAAATCTGCATGTCTAGCCAAGTACCCCCACTTCTTTGTAACTTCTTCCTACACTAGCTTATAACATAGGCAAAACTCGTAAATAACAGCATATTCGATGAAAAAACAAGGAAAATAGGTGAGAAATAAACAAATTGTACACATTTAAAGCACAGTGAAAACGATTTTTATTTAGACACATACATAAAAGTTTGCTACTGCACAGACAAGTGAAATATCGCCTCAGTTGGATCAGTGAATAAATAGCTTGCTAGCTTTCTGTCCCTCAAGATGAACTTCTGCTGAACTAGCCATAATGGAAAAAAAGTAGTATTGACCAAATAAACGCGACTGAAAGCAATAGGTAAACTCGTTTTGTCCATTCAACAGCGCCACCTCGTAACATTTGTTCTCTCACAGCATTGTTCGACTGTTACATTTATTCAATGCTATGCTCGGCCAGAAAAGGATATTCCAGTGCCAGTACTTTTAACCCGGATGCTATATATTACTGCAATACCCTCTCTGGCAGAATAGACATTATCTTGTACAGAAAACAAAGCAAGTAGAACAATGTAATCTTAACAACTTCTTGGATCACGTGTTACCGCATGGACGCTAAACAAAAGAAAAAAATTCTAAAGCAGGTGGAAAATGTATATGTGTGCATATAATACCATTCAGAGTTCTGTATTTTACCTGTTACAAGAACTTTGTTTTCCCTATATTACCCAGGACCCAATTAAATATCATGTTTGCTAAAGCTGGTGCCAAGATTATGGGTTTCAGCTAAATATAATTAATATTCGTGGGTTGGCTATCCAAAAAGAAACTCAATAGCATTGTTTAAAAGTGCAGCAATTTGACTTCGGAATCCTCATATATTTGATGGTCAGCTGTTCTTACCCTTCCTTTTATAAATGTTCCATTTATTTCGAGTATTTATTAATGAAAAAAAATCCTATTATTATCATTCCAATACAAAAAACAACTGCGAAATTGTTTAAATGTAATATTTCGGTATACTCGTCAATCTACTTGAGAAACTTCCTCCTGATCGTATGGTCCACTGATATCCGTTGACGACAGAACCGTTCTTATAATGCAGTTGCTCAAAAACGATTGAACAAAATTGTAACTCCTGTATTTAATGGAAAAGGCTGGTGGTTAAAACGCTTGATTTACGGGATGTATTGAACCCCATAAGCGAACATGCTCGCCATTTCAGCCGTTGGGGCATTATAACGTGACGGTCAATCACATTGTTCGTTGGAAAGGATTAGGCCAAAAGTTGGCAGTGGGTGGTGTTTATTTACTAGCTGACTTTCATCTACTCTATTACCTCAAAATTGGGACGATTAACACAGATAGCCCTCAAGTAACTTTGCGCGAAATTCAAAAACAAATTTAATGGAAACCACATATCCAGTTGCTGTTATGCTAAAACATCTTTAAAAAAAAACGATGCCAGCATCAACATGTGTTTACCTATTTAATTAAACAAATGCCTTAAACACCATCTTTATTTGTTACAATGTTTACAGAAGATTTACCACGAAACGTTGAAAGTAAACAAACCGAAAAGCAAATCAGGTTACTTGACATTAGAATTTTTTTTTAACTTCAATATCAGGAACAAACAAAACATGGCGCCATGTTTTATAACAATATACTACTAGTAATATTATACAACATTAAATGTTACACTAAAAAATTTGCATAATGTAATCTTTAAAATAAATTCAAGTCGTCCTCATACATCTTTGCGTAAACTTTCGACTGATGTGAAATGTAAAACAAACATTAACGAAGAGGAAATATTTTCACGACAGTCGATATCAAGTTAAACAGAATAATGTCTGACATTCACTAATAAGCTATTTAAATATAATATCACTTCTATGATGATGATGTTAAACATATCTTAACAGCGTTATTTTGTAGCTTCTTAATCTCCAATATTAACGTAAAAAACACATCCTCACGAGTACGGTAAAGGTATTTAAATTTTGTTTTAACGCATATTATTTAACGAAATAACCTATACTTACGTGAAAATGAGCAAAAAAAAAGTTTTAGTTTGGATGATTCCGAACACGTACAATTTATAACCTATTAGTCTATGGCAAACACTTACGCCAGGGTGAAAAACAAATACATGTGTAAATCCCGCTTGACCTTTTTATGACTGATTACACGATCTTTCTTTGTATTTAATTCAGCCTCAGGAATTCATACTTAACATCTTAAAACAACGCCACAGTAGAAGAGTACAAACATTACGAACAATCTGAAGTTCTAAATAAATCTGTGTAAATACAAGAGGGGGAAAAAATCAACTGTCACACCCACAACTGTTCTTCATTAAATTTTCTGTAATAATGGGAAGTCGGAAAAACCGAGATATCTACGAAACTCGGTGTGTGTGTACATCGAATACCCCGTGCGAAAACACATATTCAAATTTTCTTTAAAAAAGGTATAATTTTCCTGGTATAGGACCCTGAAAACAATATTTAGGAAATAACGAACCCCTCCAAAAAAAAAGTAACAGCTTAATTTTAAAAGTGTGCAAATTACATATTCAAACTAATAACGCAGTAAATTTTCTCTTGAAAAACAATCGCTACAATAATTTTGCTTCTTTTCTTTATAAGCTCAAAACTATACAATGGGCTATCTGTCCACCGCAGGTATCAAAACCCGAGGTTTAGCGTTATATACCCTCAGACTTACCGCTAACCAACGAAAGTAAGGGACACTGTTTTTTACAGATAGATGTATAAAATATATTCTGTGCACCACAAGACAAACAAATCTAAACTAACATAGAAGACAGGAAGCTGAAAATGCAGAACAATTCATTTATAACATATTTATACACAGTTACATATGTGAATATAAGTATTCAAACTAATCAGAAGTAAATAACAAATCACGTTACAGTGATAAACTGAAATTCACTAAAATTACATGTACATCTTTAACAATGGAAACTGTAAAAGTAAAAAATGTATTCGCCGACACTCATTTTAAGTCAAAAATTTTCTATTACAAAAGGCATCTCGAAACTTTTAAAAATTACATTACTACTGATTTTTTGTTTATTACTTTTTAACTTTAAATGAAGCGTATATATATATATATATATATATAACTTGTGTTTCATCTCGCAATAATTCTTACAGTTTAACTCTTGTGACTGCTATACGAGCCATCGCCCACTCGGGATTAGTAAGGGCTAGACAAGTCATTTCCAAACCATAGCTACAAATGTAAAGAACAAGTTTCCCAGGCAGTGATTTGGTAACGATTGAAAAGGCAGTTAAAAGCACTATGTTTTGAAAACGTTATTTTTCTTCGGTAACTGTAACACGTCATGGTATAGGCCTAGGGATACCTTACAACAGAATAATTATAATTAAGCATATATGCATAGCCTAACTTTGTTAGGCTTAGTTTTGGTTAAATCTTCGCTGGAAAGCATTTAAATGCTAATGAATGAACATAAATCCAACTGCCAAAACTGCAGCGAAACGAGGAGTTTCTATAATTCTTCTTCTTTCACACAGGATTTATCCACTTTACGCTGACACGCAGCCTTGTGTCTTTCGAGGTAGCGTGATGTAAGAAGCTTTTTGCCACACCAACTACATGCGTAGGCTTTTCTTGATGATGTATGTTGTTCTAGAACATGCCGTTTTAAAGACCAGCAGCAGGATAATCTTTTCTTACAAACATGGCAAAAATAACGCCTAACTATGCATAAATGATTTTGATATCGTCGACTTGCATAGCTTTGTTTACATTTCGGACAAACAAATCGTTCTGTCTGGCTGAGATGTGACAAGTCACTGGAACTCTGCAAGACAGACAGAGGTTGACTGATGTCATTTTGATTATCACACTCAATGGAACCTAAAGGAAATCCCAAAAAAATAACCTCAGTCAGTGTGATTGAAATAATTCTTTCCATTTATATGATTAAAATAGACTGGAGATTACCTTCCAATAAACAAGTCTTTATTATCTTGATATAAAATAATACTCTCAAGTAAATATTTACAAAATGCTGAATGAATGAAGACAGCTGTATCAGTGATCAAATAAATGCATTTTAATAGGGAAATATTCCATTTAACATTGTTTTATATGAATAAGGCAAATTAAAAACAGAGAGAGAAATCTTGAATGATACCACTATTTGCAAATATGTTTTTGTTACTAAAAATCATTTTCAGTTGAAAACATCAATTTTTACAGAATTCAATGCACAGACTTTACAACCATAGTCACTTATAGATTGTTACTTTCCAGATATTTATAAAAGAATTACACTTTTGGTCAAAAGATTAATTATACAGTAACTTTTAGATTGTTACTTTCCAGATATCTATAAAACAATTACACTTGTGGTCAAAAGATTAATCATATAGTAACTTTTAGATTGTTACTTTCCAGATATTTATAAAACAATTACACTTGTGGTCAAAAGATTAATTATATAGTCACTTTTAGATTGTTACTTTCCAGATATCTATTAAAACAATTACACTTGTGGTCAAAAGATTAATCATCATTGTCAATCATTCTTGTGGTCAGATGGATAATAATCAAGGTCAAATAGTTACTCTCATAGTCACAAGGTTAATCATGAAGCTTAAATAATTACTCGTGGTCATAAGGTCTATCAACAAGATCACAATTCTTTATTTTGTCATAGCTCTAAAAACATGAATAAACCATTTAACAACAAAAATAGAGGAGAAGCCTGTATGTTCTGATATAAGACAAATTATCAGCATGTCAGTTGAGTGTTTTCTCTTAATTTACAGACATTTCCAACTGCTAAATCTTATTATTATAATTAAAGCCACAAAAGAGTTAACATTTTTATCAACTCCTCTAGGTCAAAATGAAATTTACAAAAGAATGCATTTTTTTATGATAAACAACTTTTAAAAGTTAAGATGAGTACTTGTTATAAAAAAAATTAATTAAACTTCAGAAGTGACAATATCCAACTGTATTAATGTATTCAGTTAAGTATTAATCAGTCTGTATACCCATACATACTCTCCACTATATCTTTTAATATAACAAAAAGTACATTTGATATAAATATGGCAATCTCGAATTTAAATTCAAAAAAGTCATTTTTATCAAAAATTTTTAGAATAAGTTTATATTACTTAAAATGGAAGTTCTAAGTTGTAGTAGAATACAGTGTATCTACCTTTCAACTTGGTAAGTATTATATCACCTTGATTTTAAGAAATGCCAACTGTGTTGGGTGAGTCACAAGTGCCGATATTCACTGTTGTTGTGAAGTAGTTGTAGAAAATTGAAGTTCTGCTGAGAAAAGATGCGTAGGCATACTGGGGGCTACTTGATAACTGACAATGTCCTGTTATGAAAGTCAATCAGTTGTTATCTCTGAAACTATCAGTTTCAGGTAAAAATGTGCTAATACAAAAGTTGTAGTGCACAATGACATTATTCTAGAAACATTACTTTCCTTATGGGTTTAGCATAAGTATAAGTTGTAAATCAAAAATTTTGTTTTAATTCAGGGTAAGTTATAAACTTAGGCAAACTCATGCACATTAATAACCTTCATTTGATCTTTATTATCTGGACGTGCCAAGTATAAATGGTCCCCAATGTCTCTAAACATCCTATGCCAGCAGATTTTTGATATTTCATACCTACTTAACAAACAACTGGAAAAATTAGATCTTTTGACTCACCCCGCGTATCAAATTTGTTTAGATTTCTTATAATTAACAATGATAAACTTATAAAGAAAACAAAAATAAATACTGCTTACAGTACCGTTTGTTTTCAAACACACTGTGCAAATGAAACAATTAGAGCTACAAGTGTTTTTGCCGAAAATGAGTTATCATTGTATGTCTTCTTGTGAAAACTTTTCCACAGTGGTTACAAGGAAATTTACGGTGGCTTCTGTGCTGGTAATGGACATGAGATCTTTCTGACACATATGATAAAAAACTTTTGTTACAGATTTCACATCGATAAGGCCAAGTCTGTTCACCATTGTCAGTAGGTAAAAATGGCCCTGCAATGGATAGAAAACTTTTACTTAAACAATAAAACATCCTTAGAACTAAACACATATATTAAAAATACCTCATTATTTCACTGAAAAACATTCATAAACTATTATGTTGTTGTATGTATAATAACAAAATCCCCAAACCTATCAATTTGTTGGTATAAATTATAAAAACATTTTAAAGGTTTCTAAATAAAACAAACACTTAAAAATAGCAATCAAATTATGACTATGACATATACAAGCTTTAACAGTTAAAACTGGGGTTAGAGTCAATTGTTTACATGAATTACATGGATAAAAGAGTGACAAATTATTTTCTTGCCACAGTTTTATAATCAAAGTGAAAACTGGCTTGGTAAGATTAAGACATTTTTCACCTAACAAACATTATATTTTTTCAAGACATATTTTCATCTTGCAACATAAAACGTTTAATTAGGTATAAAAAAAATTACAGTAACTAAGGTACAAGCTTGTATGGAAGTTGTGATAAGTTTCCATTTGCACTATTTCAACTGGACCGAGTTTTCTAAACTTACTACAAGGGCTAAAAAGTAGTGTCCACAGTTGTTTTTTTGGCTTCCTTCACTCACCACACACACAGATATATATATATATATATATATATATAATCAGAAGTTTTATCTTGAAACCCAAGTTTGACCTTGGTAGATTACTGGCACTGGTTATGGCCATTGCATATTGTACTTTGTAGCATTTTTAATCAAAGGGCATTATTAGGGACAGTTACACGTTAACTCTTTAACTCGGTTAGTATTAGGCTCAGTCTGTGTGCAAGAGGTATCTGATTTGATTTGCTTAAAAACAACAAACGATTGCATATGTAAGGTTAAAAATATATTTATTAAATAATAACAAATGTTCCTTTTATGACTTAAAGTAAAACTAAAAAACTAATTTCACTAAATTATAGTATTGCAAAAGAACAATATTTATATTCAGGAAACACATTAGTTCTTACTTTTAAGTTACGATCAACTCTCAGTTTTCTTAAAAAATTCTGAAGCATATACAAGTGGGCTTATAAGAGAGAAAACACCATGAACATTTCATATTTTCCTTCCTTATCTAACATTTTCGAAGGAAACAATGTCAATGACAAAAAAGAAGACCGAATGATTCACTACTCCAAGTATTACAATGTTCCTACCACAATATCCATGGTCGATATAACTTAACTAAAAATAGATCACTGATACACAACATAGTATTATGCTCTGTGGTGGTAATCACAGCTTCAACTTGGATATTAATACTTGTCACCAACACATCAGGAGGAACATATTGCCACATTTCTTACAAAAGAGTTCCATGTTTAGAAAGATTTAGATTTATTTTCTTTGCTCAGGTAGGTTATAAATTGTCCCAGAGTTCTTCAACAAAATACTGGAAGTCTATTTTGATCAAGGCAGATTTTGGATGTTATTTTTCTCAAACAACTTCTCAACATGGCATGCAAAGTGCCATAGTGCATTACTGTCATTTACAAGCAGTATGTTCCTCTCCATAACATCAATAAGTGTTGTATAGAACATGATGTAAAGGCATAAATTCATGGCAGTGGCTCTGTTGGCCTGCATTCCTGAACTCTTGTTAATGCACTCATTGACTGACAGATTCAATGCCAAATATGATATTTTGCTTTGTGTTTCAAACTCTGCATGAATTGACAAGTGATTAATTTTAAGCAACTGAGATGATACACCACACAGGTAGATTGAGTGGCTTTCAGTCCCTTAGCACATTACCCACAGTGGATTTGAGTGCAAGTTAGTTGTATCCTGGATCCCACACCACCAATTCTACAACCTTTTAGCATTTTAACTCCATCTGGCTGTTCAGAGGTAGCTGTTGATCTTTATAAACCAAATGGAGCAATGCATTGTAGGTTTCATGTAAAAATTCAATGGGTGAAGATGTGTTGCCCCTGATGTAATGCAGCATAGATCAGTGGGTCCCAACTGCTAGTCTAAGAAACTATCAATCTGTTGGTGTTTTTGTCAGGCTGCAGAAACATAGAGTAGAAAAGAAAAAGACAAGAAAGAAATGTATAATAATGGCAATGGAAAGCATGTATGTACAATTCTTTCTGCTGAATAAATATTTATATTATTATAACTGCACATTTTTTCAAATTTATTTTTACAACCATATGTTTAGCTAGGAAAATTTTAAGAACATCACATGCTTAGGATATATACTGTAGTGTGGGGCAGTGATGTACAACTGATTCTCCATGGCCTGTTGCCGGTCCACAGAAACATCCAGTTAATAAAAATAATAATCAAATAGGTCTTGCTTAAAATTCAATTTTGCAAAATTTATAACTTATACGTTTCTTTCTTAGTTCATTGTAAAATTTCATAACTTTCACTTCAGCATTCCTTGAAGAAGCTAAATTACAAAACAACACTATAATCTATATACTCCTAACAATCTGTAAGCATTTTACAATAATTTTGAAAGTCTATGTTGTGAAATAGGCTGGTAAACATTGGTGTACATGCCATATAACACTGTCAGTTAGTCACATCCACATCCAGTATAACGGCATTAATTGCTTAGTCAGTATTATAGCTTGTAACAATATTCTGTACATTCGGTAGTTCTTTACAAAACACCACTATTCTTACAATGATCTGTATTATAATAATTTACTTGGAACACTGATTAATGCTAATGTATTACACTGTTGTGTATGTTGGTAAGTATTATACTGTATAACATTGTTGTGTATGTTGATAGGTACCAGTGTGTTACACTGTGGTTATGTTGTTCATTGATATAGACTTTAGAGTACAATACTGCTTTATATTTTGTCACTATTATAGTGTATTATAGCATCAGGATTTCTGTATCCAGTTGTTACACTCATGCTACCTATCACAGCAGACACGATGTTAGCAAGTTTTCCCAGTTCTGTTAGACGATGTACTCTTACATGGATGTCTGACATGATAAGGACTTTAATTCTAGACAGATGTAGAAAATTAAATCCATTTCTTCAAAGTACATTTAATATTCATTACAAATATTATGAAATAAAACTAGGACTTCTAACCATGTTAAACTTGTATTTAATGTGATCTTTGTGCTGGAGCCTCAAAAAGGCAGTTGTATATTGAGAAAACTACAAAATTTTCTCAAGAAAAAATTTAAAATAATTTTAATAATATCATTGAGATAAGTTAGTGCACAATATAGTGCTCAAACAGCAAATATGGATCACATAAAAGGTTGTATTTTTGATTCAGAGATTTATTAGCTTTCTTTTTCCTTCTAACACATGGCATTTTAATATAGTTTTATATTACGTTTATTTTAACACTAATTAAAATTGGTCTTTCCAACTGTACACTTAAACCACAGTTAACTCAAGCTTTCCATTAACATGATATTCACAGTCTGTGACTAAAATTCCTAACCCAATATCCCATAGCTACTACAGCCAGCTCAGAAATAGAATTACCTTTCTATAAAATGTAGTTCAAACACAGCTACTGTAAAACACATATAATACACAATCCACTGTAACTCTCTTGATTCTGCACCAACTGTTTTTAGAAATATTTCAAAATGTTGAAACTTCTCAACAATTCAAAAATCATATATTTTCCTCAGACTTTCCTTACATCACTTTTTACTTTATGCATCAAAAATAAATCAATTTTAGAAGTGGTGCATTTAAGTGTTTTACACTCACAAAA